GTTTGTTTGCTTCATATCCTCAATAACTGGTACTGTCTTACACAGAGTAAGCGGTTAAAAAATTGTTTCTCATGCTAAATATATCTGGACTCCACTTATCCCAGATACATTCCTTAGGCAAAAACTCCTCTTAATTTTTCACTTATGTGTGACCAGTGGGGGAGTCGGGGAGAGTATCCTAAAGTCACTCTAGTCCCTTCCATCTCTAGAACTACGATCTTGTAAAGACAAGACTATAGCAACAGCAACAGTTATGGAGGGCCTTCCATGAACCTGATACTCTGTTAGACTCTGGAAATGCAAAGATAAAACAAAACCTGCCCTCAAGGAGCTAGAAGATAACTTCTAGCTCAAAAAGGTATCATTTCCCAACTCCTAGGTGTATATTGTGATATAATGGGGATAAAGGACTGGCCTGGGAATGAGGAAGGCCTGGGTTCAATCCTGCTTCTGACACATGCAGCCACCAAAAACATCACTCCGGCCCACGGCCCCTAAGGGCAGCTCCCTACCTGAAACTCCAAGGTGTAAAGTGTTGGCAAGGGAATTTCTGATACCAATAAAAACCCAGCGAGGAATCCAGAGCTTCTCCCTTCTTTGCCATGCTGCCCTATATTCATCTTTCCAGGCTGTGGCAATCCGAAGTCTTCTCTGTCTTCTCACTTAATTAAAGACAATAGGTTGGACAGTCATGCTAGGAAAATGTGTCATAAAGACTAGTTGTGGGAGGGATCTCACCTCGAGTACATAAGTAATAATGACATATAGGTTAAACCATCGAAGTACAGAGTACCCAGTGAATTCTTCAATGGTATGTCTAACATCCCCTCCAAAAAAAGTGGTGCTCCCTACCTAGTGCCCAGGAAAAGTCAAGTGTTGTTGGCATATTGCTGTTGCTTTTAAACAGCCAATATGCTTGTAAATTTTTATCCTGAAAATCTCCGAAGAAGATAAAGTGTGAGGAGGGTGGGGGGGGAGAGAGAGGGACTTCTTTTCATTCTCTCCATGTCAAGTACACATTGGTGTGGCAACAACTTTTAGTTTCTAAGTGAAGGGTTTCTGGCAGTTCATTCAATAAACATTGATTTAGCAGCTATTATGTGTAAAGCATGCTGTTGGCAAATAGAGATGCAAAGGCCTCTGCCTACCCAGAGCTTACATTATAATGGGAAAGAGGACAGGTGTGCTATCGAGACAGACATTCATACCATCAATATAGGAGGGTCGATAGCTTCCATAGAATATCCCACATAGAGTTTGTTGTCCAGTTGTGCCTGGTTCTTTTGTGACCCTCTTTGGGGTTTTCTTGGTAAAAACACTGTAATGGTTTGCCATATACTTCTCCAGCTCATGTTATAGTTAAGGAAACTGAGGCAAGCAGGGTGAAGTGACTTGTCCAGAATCACACAGCTAGTAAGTATCTGAGGCTGGATTTGAACTCACAGAGATGAGTCTTCCTGATTCCAGGGCCATCAACTCTACCCACTTTGCCACCTACTGAGACACCCAGCCCCCGCCCCCCCAACCTTCGACCTCCCCAAAAAGTCAGTAAAAATGTTTGTCATAGATGGCCTGGGGAAAGGAGGAACATAGTGGAGAGTAAGGAAAAGAATGAGAAAATAGAGGAGTGAATTGAAAGAGACATTTAGGCGTTTCTGTTCCGAAGAGTCCTTGTTTTAAGAAGAAGCATCCAGAACTGCTAGGAGTGTAGCTGTTAAAGATAAAGGCACCTTAGAGATCATCAGGTTTTATAAATGAGCAAACTGAGGCCCATAAAGGGAAAAGGACTTGCTCAAGGCCACACAGTCATCGGAGACTAGAACTCAGCTCTACCTTCCCCAAATCCAAAGCTCTTTTTCTCGGTATATCTGCATACCTGACTATTTTTTTCCTTCCCCTTTGCCTTTGGAATTGTTTTCAAGAAAAGAGGAGGAAGAAGAGGAAAGAGAAGAGGAGGAGGAGGAGGAGGAGGAGGAGGAGGAGGAGAAGGAGGAGGAGGAGGAGGAAAAAGGAGAGAAGGAGGAAAATGACGATGATAATGACAGGAAGATAAGGAAAAGGTGCAAGAGGAGAAAAAGAGGAAGAAGAAAAAGAAGAGAAAGCGTCATGCCTCCATCCCCGTCTATGAACTCCAAGAGGTCAGGGGTCCCTTCTCTGAACTTTGCAGTTCCCCAGCCCTTAATACTGTTCTCTGCATACAGTAAGCACTGGATAATATTTCTTGTATTGAAATAAAGTTGAAAGTACACAACTCAAGATAAATACATTAGAGCATTAAAAACAACGACAACAACAACAACATTAATCAGACTTTCCTTCCTTGGTGGGAGGGGAGTGGGGAGAGGAGAAAGAATAAGTAATGGAATTCTTGTACTTCCTGGAACAAATTCTCCAAAACCAGTATAGTAAACCCTGGAAGACTTAGGAGCAGGACAGACCCTCAGCATTCTTCCTCCAGCCTGGAGCCTAGATCCTGTGTGAGTGCATGTGCATGTATATGTGCACGTGTGTATGTGTTTGTGTGTGCGTGCATATGTGTATCAGTATTCATTTGAGTTAGTAAGCTTTGCAGCTCTCATCTGCCCATTTTTGTTTCTCTCACAGATATTGAGGGATCAGACCAAAGGACAAAAATACAAATGTAAGTCTCGATTTTTATGGAGCCCTTTCACTGCTGCCAAGCACTTGACATCTCCTTGAAGCCTCCCAACTGCCTTTGAGGTAGGCACTTCAGGGATTATTATCCCCAGTTTACAGAAGAGAACACTGAGGCTTAGAGGAAGCGTGTCTTTCCCATGGTCGCAGAGCTCAGGTCAGAGGGATCTGAATACCTGTCTCTCCTGCTAGTAGGACAAGCCTCCTTGACCCTCCCCACTACTCCACCCTGCCTCTAGCTCCTATGCCACCCTGCCCAAGGATAGCAAGAGTTCTTGGCCAGTTATAGGAAAGACACCAGTTGCTGCTTCCTGTCTGTCTCCCTCTTTCGTCTCATCTGCAGCCCTCATCTACTGTCCAAAGGCCAGGCTCTGCCTCCCTCCCCCCCCCAGATTGTCTCTTCAAAAGGGAATTGAGAGCAGCCTTTCTTTTCGACTAGGCTTTTGATGTGCAAATCCCCTCCCCCTTCCGCAGGGGAGGGGTGGGGGGAGAGATTCAGACAGACAGACAGAGACAGAGACACAGATACACAGACCCAGAACTACAGACACATGAGCACATAGACCCAGACAAACATAGACAGAGAGACCTGGGTAAGGAGAATCCCGAGGGAAAGACTGCTGTAGGACCAGCCCCTGCCCAGTCTCTGCACTCCAAACACACCACCACAACCACCTCCCCCCCCCCCAACTAAGTACTTAATGAATAAATTACGCAGGAAGCTTAGCTAGAGCGTTATGTTTATTTTGGCTTATTGGAAGCTCAGTGAGAGGTAAAGGTTCTCTCTAGCTTTATGGATTGTGAAGTTCCTTTCAAACACCGTCTCTTTGAACCCTCACAACACCCCAGTGTAGTGAGGCCACTACAGGGATTACTTCTCCCATTTCACAGATTGACCCTCCTCAAGTTATTTGGGATTTCTTTATCCATAAACACACCCATCTCCCCCAGATTTTGTATATATTAATCTATTTGTGCATGATATTTTCCCAGTGGAATAGAATGCAAGTTTTCTGAGGGTAGGGTCATTTTTATTTTTGTATGTGAATCCACAGTGACTTCCTCAGAGCAAATGCTTAGTAAGTAATTGTTGAATTAGTAAGTGTGGAAAAACAGAAACTCAGAGATGTGAGGCGACTTACTTAGGATCACACAGCTACATAGTTCTAGACTAGAGCTAGCAGGGACTTGTCTAGGCCAGACAAATATCCCATGTACCCCTTTGACAACCTGGTCAGTTGTATGGACCCCTTCTCATAGAATTACAAAGGAAAACAATCATAGTGAAATAATTATCAAATACATTGGCATAGTGCAATCGCCTCATATTACAGTTGAGGAAACTAAGTCCCAAGGAAGTTATGTTACTTGCCTAGGGTGATGCACCTACTAAGTGTCTGAGGAAGGGTCCAAGTCGTCCTGACTCTGGATACAGCTACTGCACAAGACAGTGGATAGATAAGTGCTGTACCTGGAGTGAGGAAGATAGGAGTTTAAATCCTACCTTGGACACTTATTAGCTAAGTGATCCTGGGAACTTGACTTAAACTTTCAGAGATTCGGTATCCTCATAATAATAGCTACCATTTATATAACGCTTTGGGGTTTCCAGAGCGCTTTACTTATTTGATCCTCACTTACGTTGCCTTATTTGATCTTCACAACAACCCTGGGAGGAAAGTATTGTTAATATCCCCAATTTAGATATGAGGAAACTGAGGCTGACTTGTCCAGAGCCACACAATGTCTGCGGCAGCGTTCGTATTCAAGTCTTCGGACTGCAAGTCCAGCACTCCTACTCCATGCTTGTTCGGAGACAAGGTCTCCCTTTCTCCCGGCGCTGTTTCCGTTACAGCCCCCGGGGCGACAATGTGCCTAGTTCGAGCAAAAATCGCCTTTGAGTACACCGCATAGGGGGACCTGGTGTGCGAAGACAGGCCCACAGGGCTAAAAAGAGTGTCTCCGATGCCGGGGCCTGGAGACCCTGATTCAGGATGCGGGCGAGGATCCTAGGGGTTCCCCTCCCTTAGCTAAGTCCTGGGCAGCCTCGGAAACTTCGATTTTCCTCCCGGGCGGGAGCCCGGCGCGCCTGCCCACCGCTGCGGAGCCTGGGACCAGAAGCAGGAGGGAGCAGGGGGGAAAGGGAGAGGAAAAGGAGAGGAGGGGAGTGTCAGCCCCAGCCCCCTCTTCTCCCTCCCCCCCTCCCGCGTAGGCATTCACACACCCCCTCCCAGCCCCTCTCCAACGCTTTGAAATACCATCCCGGGCTTTGTAGTGGCCCTGAGGGGGCGGGCAGAAACAGGGGCTAGGAGTATAAAGGCGGCGGCGGTGGCAGCGACCCGAGACAGAGCTGCCTGCCCATCCAACAGCACTCGGGAGTTCTGGTTGGCTGTTCCTGGGCTGCTCTCAGCTGCCGCTGTTGCCTCGACTGAGAACCGGGGAGCCGGGGAGCCGAGAGTGTCCAGAAGCCGGGCAGTCAGACGAGCCGGGAGCCGTAAGCGGCGGCGCAGGACTTGCTTCCCACGGGGCTGTCCGTGCGCCCTTGGGCCATTGCGTCCGCGCTCCCCCGCTCTCCCCCGCTCTCCGTCCTTGTTTGTCTGTGTCTGTGTCTCTGTCTCAGTCTATCTCCCTGCCTCTTCCTCGTCATCACCACAGCCGAGATGCCAGCCCTGGCCCCCGCCCTGGCTGCGGGGGCGGCCCGGTTTCTGCTAGCGTTGGCCGCGGCTCTCTGCTGCCCGCCGTGCGCCCCGGCGGCCGCGACGCTGAACACTGTGCTGGTGAACTCCAACGCCATCAAGAACGGGCACTCGGGGCCCGGTGGCGGCGGTGGCGGCGGCGGTGGCGGCGGCGGCAGCAGTGCGGGACTGGTCCCCTTCTGGGCAGTTAGCGTGGCGCCCGGGGACAGCGTCCTGTTCGACCGACCCAACGGGTACATGCACGTGGACAACAAACACCAGGTGGGCACCTCGCCTGGGGGCCATCCTAGACTGTGGAGGATGGAAAGGGGCTGTGGGAGTCTAGGGCAGCACCAGCTTGGGGACCAGAGAGTTCCTCTGCAGACTCTGATGGACAGAGAGGGATCGCAGGGAAATGCTCCTGGGAGTGAACTCTAGGCGAACTGGGGAGATGCCTGGTAGGGGCGGAGTGGGGCTCCAGGAGCTTTCTGAGAAAGGGGGTGGTGACTACTCTCTCTTTGCGGATGATGGCTGAGGGGCTCGGGGAGAACACGGCGCGTCGTAATGGGTGAGCTCTCGCCCGAGGATGCCCGGCCCGCACCAACTTCGTCACCAGCTTCGCACCCTGCGTGCCCTCAATCCTAGCGAACCAACTGGTTCAAATCTAGAATGGTACGGAAAGGATTAGGGATCGAAAGTTGGAAAGGACTTTGGAGGTCATTTAACCCCTTTATTTCCAGAACTAGGGAAACTGGGATTCAGAAAGGGGCGAGGAGGGGTGACTCTCACCAAGTCGCTCAGGTAGTTAAGAGCAGCGCTGGCATTCTCTGAATATAGCCCACCGCGGGCTGCTGCCAACATCAGTTTCTTCTCTAAAATTAAGAGTTTGGATCTGAAAGGACCCTTCCAGCTCAAAACAATCCATCACTATGCCTTTTTTTAGGAGTTTACTGTGTGCTGGACACTGGGTTGAGCACCAGGGCTATTCAAAGACAGGAGTGAAATACCCCAGTCGACCGGGTTCAGATTCTGACTTCGTGTTTTTGTTTTTGTTTTTGTTTTTTAGTTGTTTGTTTTTCTGTTTTCATTTTTGTTTGTTTTTGTATGAACTTTGTGACCTAGGGAAAGTGATTTAACCTATTTGGGCCTCAGTTTCCTCTTTTGTAAAGTAAAGGTTTGTGGCGGGAGGCTCTACAAGGCAGGTCACTGTCAGCTCCAAGTCCTAGGATCCTTCTTAGCCGGCTCAGAGGTCTCACCACGCCCTCCCCATCTTCTCTCTACAGCAACATTTTATGTGTGTGGATGACAAGGATTGCGGTCTGGAAGAGTACTGCGACACTGGCTCCCGGGGCGTTAGTAGCCTAGGCGGCGGCGGCGGCGGCGGCGGCGGCGGCGGCAGCATCGGAGTGCAGATCTGCCTACCCTGTCGGAAGCGCCGCAGGCGATGCCAGCGTACCGTCATGTGCTGTCCGGGAAACTACTGCAGCAATGGTGAGTGACCCTGACGCCGTCCTGGACCCCGGTGCGTGCCTCACCTGGGCCTCACTTAGCTTTTACCTGGGGCTCCCCTAGCTTGGTCTCTGGGGGCAAAAAGTGGAGAACTGGAGCCCTCTCCCCACGTAGGGAATCCACACAGGAGGTTACAGCTTCTGAAGAAAAAGAATTTCCCTTTCTCCCTTTTAAGAAGAGAGGAAGGAGATGGTAGGAAGCCTGGACCCAGAGGACTTACCTTGGCATTTCTCTTTCTGATGGCACCCAGCGAGAAAGCATGCAAACCTTAAGGGTGCCACAGAAATGACAACTAGTGGTGGTGCTAGTGGTGCTAGTGGTGCTAGTGGTGCTGCTGGTGCTGGTGGTAGTAGTGGTAGTAGTAGTAGTAATCGGGGCAATCAATTGCAGTGAAAAGAAAGATGTTTGGAATCAGCACCTACATCTGAATCCTAGCCCTGACACTATACTGCTTTTGTAACCCCAAGGTCGAGACCCTTGTCCCACCTCTGCCCAGCCCCTTTCTCCTCCAGCTGATGTAAAATGAGGCTTTGGACTTTATGCTTTTTCTCTTGGGTCCCTTGCCAGTCTGAAACCTAGACTGCTATGGAGGCAGAGCAGACAGAGTGCTGGCCTTGCAATAAGGAATCCAAGGCTTCTGGATTTAGACGTTTACTTATTAGCTGGGTAATCCTGGGAAGGCTATTTAAGTTCTGTACCCCCTTGGTTTCCTCCTGTGCATATCTTGGTTGTACATAGCTTTTTCTGCCAGTCTTCTCCCAATAGAGTGTGAGCTCCTTGAGGGTAAGGACTGTCTTTCGATTTTCTTTGTCTCCCCTACCCTTAACACAAGGCTTGGCACAAAAGAGGTGCTTAATGGATGTTAAATGATAATAATAGCATGGATTTTGCAGTGTTGTTGGGAGACTCAGCTGCTACTACTACTACTACTACTGCTACTGCTACAGCTACTACCACCACCACCACTCCCATCACCACCATGACCACCACCACCTGTTAAGGTCATTCGCTCCCATTAGTTTTAGAGACTAATAACTCAAGTTACTAGGTTCTCAATAAAGCTTTGTTTTGGAGGAGAGGATTAGGAGCTACATAAGAAAGGTGTCCCAGTGCCCAGAGCAGCACCAAGAGGGGCTGGGTGTACTTTAATTGCTACTCACTTTATTTTTCCATTTGTTTACATTTTAATTGAAGTAGACCTAGAATAGAAATAGAAATTATCCAATGACTACAGTAAATGACTCTTGTTTCAAAAGAACATGCATGATCCAGTGGAAAGAATGGAGTCCAAAGGCTTAGGTTCCGATCTTGCCTCTGATACTAGAGCTTTGATCATCTGAATGTGCGTAAGAGCAAAGATTTATCTTCAAGGAGTCTCTGAGATCATCTAATCTAACCCCTTCTTGGGTAGTACAATAGGAGACCCTAGTGGGGAGTTAGCAGGCTTGGCTCCCCAACCCGACTTTGTCCTTTACTGGTGGTGTGGCCTTGGGAAAGTTGAGACTATTTCCTCATCTGTAGGATGAGGGGTTGGCCTGGGGGCCTCTGAGGCTCCTTGGAGCCCTAGATCTGATGCTCTGATTAGCTGACCTCTATAGTCCCTCCCACTTCTCTATCTTGGATCCCACTGATGAGGCAGCTAAGACCTAGGGATCTGGGATCTATGGATCTGGCAACTTGGGCAGAGTCTCAGAGCTAGTAAGTGGGTCAGCTAGGCTTTGAACCAAGATCTTCTGGCTTTGAATCTAGACTCTTTCATCTGAGTCATGCTATAGATATGCAACAAAATCCTTATCTGCATGTGTGAGTGTGTTTTTAATTTGGTGTCACAAACCTCAAAACCTCCAATCCCCAAAACTGGTATGTTCACACAAACTCAGTTGTACACATAAAGTGCTTTAAAAACTCTGGATTCTGGCCTTTTTATTGTTGGATATGAGTAGCAGGGATAGGCAGCTCAGCACTTACTACTGCTCTGACCTCTTAGTTCCTTGGGGCCCTCATCTAGAAAATGAGGAGGTTTTAACTGATAACCTCTAAGCTCCCTTCCAGCTTTATATCTTCACCTCTATTATAAACTGAGAGAGAGGTGGGGGGGCATGTAAAATGATGGTTCACTGAAGGGGTTATGACCCTGGGATAAAGTGACCTGGATGGAAGGTATCTGAAGTCAGAGACTTCAGCCCTTGACCAGTGCCTGTTGCTTTTTTAGGGATATGTGTGCTTTTGGATCAGAACCACTTACATGCAGTAGAAATGGATGAGATGACCACAGAACCGGTGAATAATGACCACAGTCTCTTAGAAGGCCAGCCTAGGAGGACCACTCCATCTGCCAAGACCAAAGGTAAGAGAATACATGACCCTCCTCCCTTCCAGTGATGGTGTCCTGCTCTCCTCCCCAAGAAGCAAGGGCAGACCTTTGAATTTAGGATTGGAGACCAGGATTGTTATCTCAACTCTGTTATTTACTTGCTGCCAGTAAATAACTTCTCTGAATCCCAGGGAAATGGAGTAGTGAGGTAGAGTAAAAAGAGTACTAGGTTTGTTCTCAGAGGACCTGGATTCATATCTTGACTCTACTATCTATATGACCTTGGGAAAGTCCTTTAATATCTCTGAGCTTCAGTTTCCTTAATTAAAAAAAAAAGGCGGCTGTTGGACAAGATGTTTCCCCTACCTCCAAAGTGCTACAATTCTATGAATCACAGAATCTCAAGAATTAGAAGGTTTATCAGGAACCATCCAGTCTGAACCTTTGTCTGGACAACAATCCCTTCTAACCCTTACCTGTCAATTGGTTATTCAGCCTCTGACTGAAGTCATCAAAGGAGGGGGACCCTACCACCTCCTGAGGCAGCCATTTCACTTTGGAGCTTCATTATCAAGTTGTTTGATTTTCCCCCCTGACTTCAAGCCTAAATTGACCTCTTTACCTCCACCCGCCGCTCCTGGTTCCCATCTCAGCAAAAAAAGTGCTTAGCACAGTGCCTCTGCACACTGTAGGGACTACATAAACGTTTTTCCCGCCCCCAACTCTGAGGTCAAGAAGAAGAAATCTAACTCCTCTTCCCCATCAAGAATAGTTTCAGTAAAATGAGAATATTTATATTACCTGGTCCATAGTGTTGTTATGAAAAAGAAAGTCATCACAGAATGAGTTTAGAGTCCACCCACAGATCTAAGTCTTAGTCCTGACTTTGCTGCTGCTCACTGCCCGGGCAAGTCACTTACCTCCCCTGGGCCTCAGTTTCCTTATTTGTCAAGTGAAGAGATTAAAGTAGATGGCCTCTGAGGCTCCCCGCATCCCCAGAGAAATCCAATGATCTGAGAGTACTTTTTAAGCCTAAATTATTACAGCCCACAGCAATAATTCCAGTGATATAAGAAACCACTGCCGCTGATATAGACTGTTTACTACAGACAGTTGCCCGAGGTATTGAGGGGTTCAATGAATGGCCCCTGGTCACGTAATGACTATGATCAGAAGCAGGATGTTATGCTCAGTCATGCTTCTTCTCTCAGATTTACGGTGTCTCAGAGAATGGAAGCTCCCTGAGGTCACGGATTGCTACCTTTTCTCTTTGGTAAATGCTGACTGGCTAATTGATTCTCCGCACGTCTCCCTTTGCTCTCTTCCCCAGGTCAGGAAGGTGCCGTTTGCCTCCGCTCCTCCGATTGCGCCGATGGCCTTTGCTGCGCTCGACATTTCTGGTCCAAGATCTGCAAGCCCGTGCTCAAGGAAGGTCAAGTGTGCACCAAGCACAGAAGAAAAGGCTCTCACGGCTTGGAGATTTTCCAGCGCTGTTTCTGCGCAGACGGCCTGTCCTGCCGAGTTCAGAAAGATCACTTAACCAATGGCGCTTCTAGGCTTCACACCTGCCAGAAACCCTGAACTGCCCTTGTGAATGATGGCTGCTGATGGACTCCTGTGCTTGCCATCGAACCTTTTCGGGGAAGGACACTTGCTGTGTTTACAGTTGCACTCTCCAAACGCTCCTTCCGGAAGTCTGGAGTGCAAAAACGGCTTTGTTTCTGTAGGAAACGAACTCTCTCCAGTGACTGTTTGCAGTAAATTACTGTGTTGTAAATATCCAATGTGGCATTTCCCTGTACATGCTCCCAAACTTTTAATTATTTTTCTAAAAGTGCCACAGTGTCCACAATTTACCCACAACCTGTAAATTTTGTACACACTGGTGATCTCATCTTGAGTCTGATAAATGTTCTATTTTAATTGAAATAAATGATTTCCGCTGAAAGGGTTTGTCTCATCCCTTTGTTAAGCCGAGGTGAGTGCTCAGAAGGGTCATTTGCCTTTTGGGAGAGACACAGGGGATCACAGACTTAGAGCCAGAAGGAATTGTAAAATAAAATCCAGGCTAGCCACCCCTTCATTTTAGGGACTAGGACAAATGAACTGAATGACTTACCAAGGTCACAAAGGTAGTGGGCAGTACCAACTCCAAGCCCTCTCACTCCAAATGGAACTCCACTGCACCACACTCGGGTGGAATGATGAGCTTGGAGTTAGGAACAACTGGGGTCAAAGCGCACATCCGATCTTCAGGAGCTCTGGTAACGCTGGGCAAAGTGGATTATTTCCTGGTGCTTCAGACGTTTTCCCAAGCCTTTTCAAACACTTAGACCTAATAATTTCTTTAGGGGATGAAGTTCCCACACTAGAAGTTACCAAGTTGACAAAAGTCACATCTTTGTCCTCTCTTTGACTAGCTCATCATACTCAAGTATCTTGAACTACAAAGGCCTACTGTCTTGGCTAAAGGGGAAAGGTCTGTAGGTAGGATAGGAAAGACACTGTTTCACTCAAATATTTTTATCTCCAAACAGTCTCAGAATAAAACTCACAAGTGGAAAAAAATGTGGAAAAATCACAAGTTAAGATGAGTTTTGGTGTAATTGTATTTAATTTTATTTATTTGTTTACATGACAGAAAATATGTGATTTTTTTCAGGGCTATTCTGGGGCAAGATATAATTAAAAGCTAAGATGATGTCATCAGCCCCAACTGATAAAAAGCAAAAATCTCCAAATGAAATCTTAAAGTACTTGATGAGGGGGGCAGCTAGGTGGCATAGTGGATAGAGCACCAGCCCTGGATTCAGGAGGACCTGAGTTCAAATCCGGCCTCAGACACATAACACTTACTAGCTGTGTGACCCTGGGCAAGTCACTTAACCCCACTACCTAGCCAAAAAAAAAAAAGTACTTCATGAGGTCAAATAGCTCACATTCCTAGAGTGTTTTACTGTTCGCAAAGCATTCTCTATAAATGACACAATTGTCCCACCATGGACAGCATAATAAATTCTAAAAGGCTAACTAATTTCTAGCTATAATTCACACTTCTATACCACTTTAAAATTCAGAAAACCCTGGATCAGCATCAGCCTGATCAGGTGGTGTGACCATTACTCTACTCATTGTACAGATGAAGAGCGTTGACCCTGTGAGGTTTAGTGAGTGGCCCAAAGTCACACCAGAAGATATCAGAACCAGGTTCTGAGCAGAGATCTGACTCCAAGTTCAAAGTCCTTTCTGGTTCACTCTACATCAGCCTTAAGACTCAATTAGTGACAATTAGAACTAAATACATAGAATAAACCTAAGGGTCATGCTGTACATTTGTAAAGCATTTGGGGGAATTCAAATTCAGCTAATGATCAAAAGCGCAGATGGAAAGGTGCAGGAGCTGAAGAAGACAACTGAAAATATTTTAAAAGTAACTGATGTAACCAATGAAAAGATGTATTTTCTGGGGCCATCAGTATATTTCAATTTTTGCTGGAGGTTGACTTCTGCCATTAGAAGGCTAATAAGGAATTTAATTTTCCTTCCTTGACATTTTGACTTGCCAAGTAGGACTGTGTTTTCACTCCACCATCCATATTCCTTTTCTGTGATAAAATAGAGCTCTCACTGTCTTCATTAGTGGGAATCCAAAACTGACTCATGCCTTCAAATCTCAATCAGCAACTTTCTCTTTGCTCCCACAAATTCTATATGGGCATCCAATCATGGATCCTTAGGGCTGCCTCTAATTCTCTCTCTTTTTTACTTTGCAATTGGGGTTAAGTGACTTGCCCAGGGTCACAACAGCTAACAAGTGTCAAGTGTTTTGGTCTGAGGCCGGATTTGAACTCAGGTCCTCCTGACTTCAGAGCCAGTGCTCTATCAGCTGAGTCACCTAGCTGCCCCCCTCTAATTCTTTCAATGTTAAATTAATACCAATGGAGTGCATGGGGCTAAGCCTCTGTCACCCATTGTTCTCTCTCTACATGATACCTAACTAAGCAATGTATTTATTGTAGCTTAGCCCTGTGGCTTCATCAAATTAGTGTCTTTTACCACCACCTATGGTCTAAAAGCAGATTCTTCAACTGGTGTCCATGGTCTCTCAAGTGGATAGAGTCCATAAACTTGCATGGGAAAAAATTACATCTTTATTGTTATGAACCTTTAGCATTTCCTTCAATTATTTGAAAAGGTGATTCTTAGATAGTATCTTTAGATTTTACTACATTGCCTGAGGAGTCCATGAAAAACAAAACCAGAACTGTGTCTTAGAAAATTGTCTGAAGTATTGAAAGATTAAATGACTTGGCCTTTGTCAGACAACTCAGATGCTCAAGGGAGGACTTGCACTCAGGACTTTGTGACTTATCCATGACCTCATGCTGCCTCTGACCACATCTGTATACACACACACACACACACACACACACACACACACACACACACACACACATGTTTTTATGCTGTGTGGTTTATATGGAGGAAAGGGAGAAGAAGAGCTCTTATTTTTCTACTCAATCCTACTCTCCATACCGAGGAAACTCAGTGCTCTGGGCATTTAAAAGATAGTGATTGAACAAGTTCCAAAAAAAAAAAATTTCTCAGCTTTTCAGCCAGAAATGGAGATGTTCTAGAATTGGCTTGTTTTCTAAAGTATTTCAGGTTTAGGGGACTTCAAGGTCTGCCCCCAAACTGAAGGGCTAGGATATTTCCTTACATGGTCTTTTGTTGGGAAGTTTCAGCTTTCATGCTCAGGAGAAATTTTCTCTTCCTCCGTGGATGGGTTTTGTGCATTGCCAGGAAGGCCTGATGCTGAGGCCTGGATTCTCAATAAAGTCCAACACACGAGAGGAAATAAGAAACTGCTTTCTCTCAATGACTACTTTCTCCCAAGACAGAAGAGGCTTCTATTTGAGAGGAATAGGTTTTGAATTCAACAGGCCCAGGTTATCTGATCCCTTCCTTGCTGTAGGAATAAAGAGGCTATGTCTGGAGAACAGCATCCTTCCAAAGGTACTGAATTTGGAGAGGACTTGGGGACATGACCCTGCTAGGTATTCTAACTGCAACCTTGGGAAATCACTTCTGCTCTCGGGACCCCAGTTTCTTCAGCAGTAAATTGAGAGGATTGCACTAGACATCCTTGAGGTCCCTCTCACCTCTAAATTAATGAGCCCACATGTACCATCCAGACCAGCCCTTCCTTCCTTGGAGCCACATCTTCTCTCCAATCCTCCCTTCTTTCATTGCTTCATTTCCCACCCTTACTGACGGCCTTTCTTGCCCTCCTGCTTTTCCCCAATTAAGACTCTATGTACCCCCTAGACTCAGATAGGTCATCCAGGTTGCCACTTCATGCCCCTTTCCAAACCACTCCACCAACTCGTGTTCCCTGTTATGTGTTGACTTCCCCTATTAGAACATAAGCTCCTTCTTAAACCCATGCTGCTCAGGACGAGGCACCTCTGAATTCTTCTCTCTTTATTAAATCCAAACAGAGTCACCAAAAAAAAAAAAAAGAACATAAGCTTCTTGAGGGCAGAAACTGTCCTGCTTGCCAGAATTTGTATCACCAGGACTTAATGCCTTTATTGCAGCTCTGACCACGTCACCCTCCCCCCACCCCCATTAAATAAAGTCTAGTCCCCTCCAGCGGTAAGTATATAACATCCTGTCTTTGCCTTTTAAGTCCTTTCAAAACCTTTTCCCCTCCTACTTTTAAGGTCTTTTTATACCTTACACCCCACGCATACGACCTCTTTGCTGTTCCTCGTACAAGGTACTCCATATTCAGACTCCAGGCATTTTCACATTCTGTCCTCCACACCTACAACTCTTTTCCTCCTAGAACTCTTTGGCTCCCCTGGCTTCTCGGTTCAATTGCTGGGAATTGCTCAATCTTATGTAAGAAGCCTTTCCTGATTCTCCATAATTTTAATGCCTTGATTCAATATTTCCCATTGGTTTCTCATACACACACACACACACACACATATGCACACACATATATATACATACACATATATACACACATATATATGCTTATATATATGTATATATATGTGTATATATGTATATATATATATATGTATATATATATATATATATATATATGTATGTATGTATGTATGTATAAATGCTTACTGCCTAACTAGTTAGTACTAGCTAGAGCTTAATAAATGCCTTTCCCTTTCATAGGACTTCTTTCCATTGCTCAAAAAAAAAAGGCGACATAGTTTTAAGTTCTAAATATGTGAACATAAATAAGTTCTTTATGAGTTAAAAAATCCTGCTTAAATTGCCTCTTTCTTAATAATGGTGGTACCTTTGGCACACAGAGCTATAACCATATGCCAGAGGCAAAAAGCACTAACTGCACCTTCAATTCAGTTGAAGAGGGTGATAGAGACTCCTGTACACCCTGAGGCCATTTTAAGGGAGATTAATGCTGGGAAGGGAAGGGCAGGCCCTGGGTCAGGAAAGAACTCACCAGGGGTGTGCCAACTCCAAAATCGAGGGACTCGGGATTCAGGAAGCCATTATCTGGAAGCATCTTTTTCTAACTAATCCTTCTTGTTAACTAGGTGCAAAACTCGGGCTGTTCTGTCAGCACTCCTTCCAAATTCCATGCTCTGGGCCAAAGTCCAGGTCACTTCACCTTGGTAATGACTGTTGGCACAGATTAATTGTCAGGAACAATTGGAAGAATCACCTCATTGTTGGCCTTCGGAGTTCCCCCATTTAGAAAGTCTCTTCCTTCCCCCTCATCACACCACCCCAGAGTGTTCAGCACTGGGCAGCATGGTCTACAGGCAGCATGCACTTTGTTTCCCAAATGTCAGCTTTCCATTGAGATCATAGTTGTCTTTCTTTCTGGTCTCTCCTTCAAATTATACCTTCGAGGAGACAACTGCATTTATGGTTCCCATTTGCT